CCCCCGCCCCCCATAGTTGGACAGTGGGGTAAGGGTAACTTTTATAAAAGAGAAGTGAGCAGGTCCCAAAAATAAGACAGTCATGAGCCCCATGAAGTTAAAAACCTTCTATGGGGAATGAACTATGCCAGTGGTCGGCAAACCGAGGTTCGCGAGCCACATGCGGCTCTTTGGCCCCTTGAGTGTGGCTCTTCCACAAAATACCACATGCGGGCGTGCACGTACAGTGTGATTGAAACTTCGTGGCCCTTCGTGGCCCATGCGCAGAAGTCGGGATTTTGTGGAAGAGCCACACTCAAGATGCCAAAGAGCTACATGTGGCTCGCGAGTCGCAGTTTGCCAAGCCGCAGTTTGCATATTATGCAAATCAATAATTTTCATAGAAGGCACCTGTGATAAAGGCAAGCACAGCCCTGTGGGCATTTACAGAAGGGAAGAGAGCATTAAGGGCGATCCTCCTGCTTCCCAGAGGTAATACCGTTGCAGGGGAAGAGGTAGAGGAGCTGCATTTCACACAAGGAGGAAAAATCAATACAGTGAATTTACCAAATGTTCAGATTAACATTCTTGAAGTATTGTTTTAGCATCTTTTTAAACAAATATTTTTGTTGATTTCAGAGAGGAAGCGAGAGGGAGAGATAGAAACATCAATCATGAGAGAATCATGGATCAGCTGCCTCCTGCATGTCCCCCACTAGGGATGGAGCCCCTAACCCAGGCATGTGCCCTGACCAAGAATGGAACTGTGACCTCTCGATTGCTGGGTCGATGCTCAACCACTGAGCAACACTGTCTGGACTGTTTCCATGTCTTTTGTAGTGCTCACACTGAAATTTTTTATTTCACTACTGAATCCCCAGCATCTAAAACAATGCTGGCACATAGCAGGCACTCAATAAGATTTTGTTTAATACATGCATTCTCATTTTATACGCAAAACTTTGATAGGAACGAATTGAACCAAAGCCCAGCATGAAGAAATGACAACATCCGTCACATGCATTGACCCACACAGCATGTAATAGTGTTCCTTAGCATTTTGAAATGTAGAGCCAGGAATGTTAGAGGAACTGTCATAGTATTTGGGGGGAAAGACAATAAGGGGAGCAGAACTAGAAACTAAAATTAGCATATACTATAGAAACACACGTGTAGTATGAAATACACTGCCTAGCATAGTGTCTGGGACAGACTGGGCCCCCGATGGATTTTCACTGAGCAAATAGATAAATGAATGAATATCTGTGAGCTAACTGCCTACAAATGGTTAGCCCAAAGGTGAAAAGAAAATCGTTAAATTTTAACTAATGGGGATATTCTGTTGAGTGGTGGTGGTGGTGGTAGGGGGGGTAGATAGAGTTTGCTTGAGGCAGTCCCATGTTAAACAGAACTGGCTCCAGAGACCCCTCCTACGTCTGGCTACATGTGCGCATGTCCCCTCCAGGCCATCCCACCTGCTCAGTGAGGGGGTGAGCACTCCATGCGGAGGTGCTCCATTAGATCAGCCGGGTAAGTCAGGGAACCAAGTAGGTATCATTCCCAATGGCTCAACTAACTAGCGGACGCCCAACATGATCATTTTTCACTAGCTTCATATTTCTTGACACTTGTTCTTATTAGACAGTATATTAACCAAAGTGAGGCAAATGTTTCCATTAAAATATATTTACAAAGAGAAAAAAATAAAATATATTTACAGTAATATATATATATATATTTAAATGAGTGAACCTGGATAAATCAATTCAATTATCTTTATTTTGTGTGTGGTGTGTGTGCGTTTGTGTGTTTAACGCTAAATCAAAATGACAAGGAAAAACAGACACCTTTGCATTTAATGGCAATAAAATACCTCCCCCTAGAAGAAAGCAAATCCACACTAACACCCCCTTCAAGATACATGTATGTAAACATCAGAAAAGTCTTCAGGAGAAAAACGAACCATTTGTACAAGTGAGTAAGAGTCATTGGGAATCATGAGCGTTCATGTAACACCCCCACCAGGAATAACAGAGAAATCGATGCTTACCAGACCACCACCAATGACAGCTACTTTTTTCCTCTGAGAGTCTGAGGAATCCATGGCTGCTGAAGTGCTCTCCACGATCAGATCACCGTGGCTCCTGTGCCAGAGGACACCCTGTCTCCCACACACAGATGCCTCCCGTCTTTATATACCGCCCCAGCCGGCCACAGTGTTTGAGCAGGCCTGGGAGGTAGCATTTAACCCCTTCGTAGCCCAAAGCACAGTCAACTCTGCTTCAAGGGGGGAAAAAAAAAAAAAGAAACTTCATGACCTGAACCAAGACTGAAAATCCAGCCAAGCAGAGACACGCCCTGTCTGAAGGGCAGACACAGACAAGTTTGAACCACAGACTCAGGGCTTCTCTTCTTCTTTTTCTACCACATGCATTTTCTTACTTTCTTACTTCCGGTTTCCATTCATAGTTAACCATGAATGAAACCCCTCGTCTGAAGTCCCCAAGCATCTTAAGCTTCTCTTAGAGAGTGAGATGGTATGACTCCATCATCCAATCATGAATTATTTTTGCCTTTAAGAGCCACATTTCAGGAATTTCACAGTGTGTCTTTAACAGACTCTACCTGGGCAAATGTTTTGCCTACTCTTAATATTCTCCCAGCAAGATTTTCAACTGTGTATGTGACCATACTTCTTTTTATTTTTTGCATCAGACGCTAGAAACTTTAGAATCTAATATGTGCATCAGGACTAGGCGAGATGATTAATAATATGCTCCTTGTAAACTCATTCCTGGCTTTATGCCATATCACTCTCCACTTCTTTGCCTTCTTTCATCTTATTTTAAATATATATATTTAACATGAGGTGGTGTTAAGTAAAGAACATAAAAGATGACGCTTCTTCACTTCCCAGGAAGGGCAGGGAGAATCCAGAATGGTCTTCCCCCTGGTTAAGAGCTAGAGTTGAGTATCATTCAATACTGGCCCCTTGTGGATGAGTATAGAGTTGTTGGAAGATTTGATGTTGGGTATTTCATTCATTCATTCACAAGGTATAAAATTCAAAAGACACAAAAGGGCACACAGTGGAGAGTCATTCTTATAACCCTGTCCTTGGGCCACCTGTTTTTGGGGTTGGTTACCCTAGTCTTCTACAAGCATCTCTCTCTCTCTCTCTCTTCCTCTCCCTCGACACAGGGAATTTCTGGTTTTTGCAGGTTTGTCCTATATCTCATTGTCATTTTAACTTGCATTATTTGTTAACAAAGTTGAGCACCTTTCACCTGTTTATTCCCAACTTGCTTTTCTTCTTTTGTATACGAGTGCTTATATTTCTTTGAATAGTCTCACTTTTTTTTTAAAAAAATATATTTTATTGATTTTTTACAGAGAGGAAGGGAGAGGGATAGAGAGTTAGAAACATCGAAGAGAGAGAAACATCGATCAGCTGCCTCCTGCACACCCCCCACTGGGGATGTGCCCGCAACCAAGATACATGCCCTTGACCGGAATCGAACCCAGGACCCTTCAGTCTGCAGGTCGACGCTCTATCCACTGAGCCAAACCGGCTACGGCAATAGTCTCACTTTTTAAAAATGCCATTGAGTATGAGTTTTATTCTTTATATATGTTGCAAATATATTACATTCTTATAAGGATATAGTTTTATTCATATATGTGTTGCCTTTTTGCTTTCTTAGTGGTGTCTTTACATGAAAAGATATTCTTAATTTTAACATATTTGAATTACCCAGTTTTTCCTTTGTGACTAATGTTTTTTAATCATTTTATCAGTTTTTGTAATCATGAGATCATAAAGATGTTCTTCTATGTTGTCTTCTAAAAGATTTTTATTTTTAGGTCTGCAATCAACATGGAGTTAATTTTTATGCATGCTGTGACAGAGCCCACATTTATTTTATTTTCCAAATGAATACCCAGTTTTCCCCAAACTTCTGAATAAAAAGAATTTCCTTTTCCCACGACTGCCTTTGTCATAGGTCCAGTGTTTATATATTTATGGGTCTGATTCTAGGTTTCTGTTTTATTTCGTCTATTCTACACTTGCCTATACCAGTGCCAATTCCACGGCCAAATTACTTTGGCTATACAATAACCCTTGGTTGTTTGAGCAATTCCGCCTGCCAAAATATATTTTTATTGATTTCAAAGAGGAAGGGAGAAGGAGACAGAGAGAGAAACATCAATGATGAGAGAGAATCATGGATCGGCTGCCTCCTGCACGCCCCCTACTGGGGATCGAACACACACCCCAGGTGTGTGTCCTGATGGGGAATTCAACTGTGACCTCCTGGTTCATGGGTCAATGCTCAATCACTGAACCACACCGGCTAGGCCTCTAGGAATGATTTTTGCCTTGAAGTTTAATTGTCTGATATCAATATTACCTTTCTGTATTAAGCTAGCATTTAGATATTATATCATTTTCAACCATTTGATGTCAGCTGTTTTAAAAGTGGCCTTTTAAACAGCATTCAGGTGAGTATTTTAAAAGTCCAACAGGAGCATACTTCACAGTACGCTTTGCTTTCTAGGAGACACTGCGTACTTCCACTTCTCTCCACCTGTACTGTATTTATAAATTTAACAAGTCAGCGTTAGTGGCGGAGGTTAATGAGTACCGAGGTTAATGAGTACCGTATTTGCTCGGTAGTTTTCGTCATTCTCCTACTGCTGACATTGACAGAATATGGCCTCACTGCGCTCGATGAACTCACTTGCTCAATCAATGTTTGTTCATTTCACCAGGCCCTTCCCGCTGGCAGCTCTCTGCCTCGAGAGCCTCCTCTCTCTGCTCTCCGTGTTTAGGTCTCAGTCAAATACATCTTTAGTCTCATCACTCTACCAAAAAAGTGCTATCTGCCCAGCTGGCGTGGCTCAGTGGTTGAGAATCAACCTATGAACCAGGAGTCATGGTTCGATTCCCGGTCAGGGCACATGCTGGGGTTGCGGGCTCCATCCTCAGGAGGGGGTGTGCAGGAGGCAGCCAATCAGTGGTTTTCTTTCATCATTGATGCTTCTATCTCTCTCCCTCCCCCATCCTTTCCTCTCTGAAATCAATAAAAAAATATTAAAAAAAACACTCTGATAAAAGTCTATAAAAAACGATGCTATCCCCTCATTCTCTAAATAGGTTCCTGTTTATTTCTTTTTATTGCGTTCACCATTATATGAAATTTACTGTTGTATGAAACCTGATTTACTTACTTATTTGAAGAACAAATAAATATTAGTGGACGTGAAGGGGAGAAAAGTAGATGGACACCAGAAGTAGAGTAGTCAGGCTTTGTTGAAGAATTGGGCAGAGTGTATGCAGGCGTTGGGGAATGGGGGCAGAATTCAGGAATCAAAGACACCCCCCCCGGGTTTCTAGCTTAAGTAACTGGTGGAACCACATACTGCATGTGGAATTATGGTATGGAGGTGGTAATTGAGATTTATCCTCTGGGATATATTAAGTTTGAGATAGGAATATTCAGTTAGGTAATTAAAATATAAATATTCAACATACAGTTGGATATATGAATTTGGAACATAGAGGAGAAGTCAGGGCTGGAAAAATAAGTTTGAAGTCATCAGCACATCAACATAGAAATGGTATTGAAAACTATGAATGGCCCCGGCTGGTTTGGCTCAGTGGATAGAGCACCGGCCTGTGGATGGAAAGGTCCCAGGTTTTTTTTTTTTTTTTTTTAATATTTACTTTATACTTTTTTAAAAATATATTTTATTGACTTTTTACAGAGAGGAAGGGAGAGAGATAGAGAGTTAGAAACATCGATGAGAGAGGAACATCGGCCAGCTGCCTCCTGCACATCTCCCACTGGGGATGTGCCCGCAACCCAGGTACATGCCCTTGACCGGAATCGAACCTGGGACCTTTCAGTCTGCAGGCCGACGCTCTATCCACTGAGCCAAACCAGTTTTGGCAGGTCCCAGGTTTGATTCCAGTCAAAGGCACATGGCCAGGTTGTGGACTCGATCCCCTGTAAGGGGTGTGTAGGAGGCAGCCGATCCATGATTCTCTTTCATCATTGATGTTTCTATCTCTCTTTCCCTCTCCCTTCCTCTCTGAAAAGAGATTTAGAAGAGAGAGAGGGAAGAGAAAACCATTGCCTCTTTCCTTTGGCCCTCATGGCAGGACATCAAGTCCCACAACTTGAACAGAAAGCAAAGTAAAAGGGACACATGGACACACCACCCAAAAATCAACAAGAAGAAAGCAACGTCAATACGGTCATCAGACAAAGTTCAAGGTAGAAAGGCCCCCACACGCCTCTAAGCAAAATACAAATGTTATTTCGCAGAGGTACAAGGTTGCATCTGCAAAGGAAGATGTCCAGTGGCAACCACTGATTGAAAAGCATTCCCATTACCTTTTCACTACCAAGTGATGATTATTAAAAATGATTAATGAAGACAATCGAGGCGATGCAAACGAACTGTTTAACTAACACGTCACAGAACACACAAGCTTCTTTTGGAGAACGACCAAATGAGGGACGAAGGCAGGAAGCTTTTATTGAAATCCTCACCCGAGGATATTTCTCGATTGATTTTTAGAGAGAGTGGAAGGGAGGGGGAGAGACAGAGAGAGAAACCTCCATGTGAGAGAGACACATGAATTGCTTGCCCCCGCTCCCCCCCTCCCCCGCCCTCCGCACGGGCCCTGAACCAGGGCTGGGGATAGAGCCTGCAACAGAAGTACACGCCCTTGACCCAAATCGAACCCGGGACCCTTCAGTCTGGGAGTCCACATTCTATCCACTGAGCTGAACCAGCTAGGCAGGCAGAACGCTTTCCAAAATTTCTACATGTAAGATGTAATCTGGAAATAATGAAAAATTAAAAAAAAACACACTCCAATACAAAGAGCATGCATTGAGCGATTACATGATAAAAAAAAAAGAATCAATACCATTTCTTTCCAGGATATTCCGCCAACTAAGCAGTAACTGATGACTCATTAGCTAATTCTCTCTCTTGCAGCAGCCACACACAGCAAGCAACCTGCTTCAAGGACTAACCCGAACTCCATTTCCCATGTTCCCCTTCGAACTGGTTTCCCATGAATCCCAGGGCTTCAAACACCTGCTCGTCGAGGCAGTTCAGCCCGCCCTCTTTCTCTTTTCTGACCATTCAGGATTAGCCCCGCCCCCACGCGATCGGTTTCCGGCTTCCGATTGGCTCAAGGCGGAGTCCGGGGGGCTGGGCGTGGAGTGACAGCCGGCGCGGGGGGCGTGGCCACGGCCGCTCAGAAGCTCTACCCGGGCGCCCAGGCACCATGTACCGCGCACTCCGGCTCCTCGCGCGCTCGCGTCGCCTCGCGCGAGTCCCCCCCTCGGCGTCCACCTCGACTCCCGGCCTCGGCGGCACGGCCTCCCTCCCGTTCCGGCCCCCGGTCGCCGCCCGAATGGTGAGCTCGGGCTCCCTCGCCCCGGCCTCCCCGCCGTGACCTTCAGCCCTCGGCCGGCGGCCCGGGCGCCTGCGGGCGGGTGGGGAGGATTCCCAGGGGGGATCCCCGCGGAGGCAGGCCCTGGGCTGCGTGCCCGCGCGCGGGGGTATCGGGGGGCCGATCTCCTCTGCTCCGGGCGCCTCCTCCAGAGCGAGGAGGGAGCCTGCACCCCGGTGAGCGCCGGGGCCGGGGGGCAGCTCCTGGCCCCTCTGGACGCCCCACGGGCGGGCCGGGCCTCTGCGTTTTGGGTGTTCCGCGTCGGCCGCTTCCTGCGGGTGCGAAGGCCCCCCCCCCCAGCCTAGGAGGCCGTCCTCGGGACTGTGCCGGGTGGACGGGGTGTGGGGACCGGGCAGCCCCCGTTCCTGGCCGGACACTGATCTGAAATGGCCTGATTCCTGCGCGAGGCTGCGGGTGGTTCCCCCACCGAGTTTTTGTGGGATCCCGACGCCCCACTTGTAGCCGAATCCGTCCTTTTTGTCCAGAGCGATCACTCGGGAGGGGAAAGGCCCCAGGGTCCAGGGGTGGGACGCTGGTTTGCACAGGCCCCTCTGCTCCCTGGACACGTACACGCGTTAGGAGGCGTCTGGGTGGTCAAGGGCCGTCTAGGAGGAGCGGCGGTTCTGCACGGTCCACGGGGCCGCCCCGTGTGCAGCCAGAGCTGTGAGTGCAAACCACGCGCTGCCACGCCAGGTTGGGGCGCACTTGGGGCCGATTGTCTGGGTGCCTCCGTGTCCGCAGGACAAGGGAAATGCTTGCAGCTGCTCCGCACGAGTGCGCCTGGGACCTTGCTTTGCTGGGAGCGAGAGCTCGTTCAATACTGTAAACGCTTCCTTGTGAGGGTTTTCGAGGCCAAGACATCTTCTGGCCCATGAAAAACAAAGTCGGGGTGTTTTGTGTACCCCTGGAACTCCTGGGCTAATGAATAGTTTCAGCGCCTGCGTGTGCGTGGGAGGGGCCACGCTGCGCACCCAGGCTGGCCGCCTGCCCTAGCTCTATATTCCCCAAAGGTTTCTTCATTCTAAAAGGTTACAAACGGAGTAACTTTTAGACCATTTTCTAAAGTTTCTAGTAAAATAAGCAGGACCCTAAGAACATTGGATTGGCCAAAGCTTGACCAATAATTGGCATGCTGCTGAATTGGAAGAGGTTGTTTTTCCCTCAAAAGCTTTCTTTGTATTTATCATCTGTGTAGGGTGTGAGTTCTGTAATGTCTGTAACATCCTATATAATAAAGTGCTGATATGCTAATTACACTGCATGGCGGAACGACCTTCCAGAACAACCTTCCAGGACGACCTTCTGGAATGACCAGTGGGCGCAGCCGCAAGGCAGCTGGGGCTGCGAGGGCTGAGCCCCTTGCATGAATTTCGTGCATCGGGCCTCTAGTCTATAATAATAAATTTGCGTGAGAACAGTTTCGAGAGGAAAGAGCTGAAGAGGGGAGTAGAGTGAGAGTCACGCTGGAATGTTTTGTCTCTATGGTACTGACGAAGGCTTCTTTTCCCTTACAGCTGATATCATGTTATTGCTTTGGATACCTGATTTATGTTCAAGCTCTAACAGTGTCTTACCTCCATCTTTAGGCGAGCCAGAATTCCTTCCGGGTAGAATATGATACTTTTGGTGAACTCAAGGTCCCCAATGATAAGTATTATGGCGCCCAGACCGTGAGGTCGACAATGAACTTTAAGATCGGAGGTGTGACGGAGCGCATGCCAGTAAGTGCTCTCTTGGAAATATTGGCTTATAACTAGGCTTTGTGCAAACGAGTCACGTTATGTCACGAATCAAATTTTGCAGAGTTCAAATGCTATTATTGGAGACCTTTGTGAGCAATACAATGTTTCTTTCATTAAAATGTCAAAGAACTTTTTAAATACTATTATTGGATTTTTATTTGATAGAACTAAGTGATTTGTCTTTTCATTTCCACTGAGATTATTCGGATTTTTACTAGGATTTTATAGTTTTTAAGCATTTTTAATTTCAATACTTAAGTTTTATTTATTTATTTTACTGATTAACAATGAGTTTTACAAAACTGATTTAAAAGGGACTGAGTTTTCTATAATATTATACTTTCTATGTCTCTTGGTGTCAGTTCCCAGCAAAGTCTACACCAGTGGTTCTCAACCTTCCTAATGCCGTGACCCTTTAATACAGTTCCTCATGTTGTGACCCAACCATAAAATTATTTTCGTTGCTACTTCATAACTGTAATGTTGCTACTGTTATGAATCGTCATGTAAATATCTGATCTGCAGGATGGTCTTAGGCGACCCCTGTGAAAGGGTTGTTCAACCCCCAAAGGGGTCGCGACCCACAGGTTGAGAACCGCTGGTCTACACAAATACCTAAAACTATTTTTTACCGTGTCTGACATCTGATGGATAATATATATGTATGTGTTCAGTGCCACACGAATGATTTAATGATTAGAACACTTTCTGTCGTGTTTCATTAAAGCTAAGATGACATCAGTTAGAAGATGCGCCGACATGTACCACAAGAAAGAAAAGGGCTGTCAGTTAAAGTTGGGACGTGTCATCGATTGTGAGGTGCACCTCGATTTCAGAAATGTTAAAGTGGAAAGAATTCATTACATATATCACATATCCGACTGAGACCAACTGGTGTGAGCAATAGTCACTGCAGAGTGCAGGATGGTCTAGCAGCTTAGAAGTAACCAAGGTTCGCCCAATGAGATAATGCTTAACAGTTATCTTTAAATATACTTTTATTTCACAGTACTTTTAGCTTCTATAGGTTAGCTCATTCCTAAGCCTTCAAGACTGGATCTGGACAGGTTCCTACAACTTGACAATAGGCATCTGAATCTTCTGGAAGAAAATCTTTGCTATTGCCACTGCAGTCAGCTTGGTGAGGGAGACAGACACAGGCTCAGATGACATGTGTGGGTGACACGGGGCAGGCACTGATCCTAAAACATTCTCAGATAGTCAGCTCTTGAATGAAAGAGGTCAGTCTTAGAATTCAACCCCTGGCATTAAGGAGGTCGGTCCTAACCCGTACTGATAGGAGTAAGCAGGGCTCATGTTTTGATTTGCTGGCTTTAGCCAGCGAGGCGTGGGGGTTGGAGGTGCAGGACTTGATTTCAGCTGCTGCTGCTGCTGCTTCAGGGACAGGCCAGCTGTTCGGATTACGCGGCTGAGAACGATGGGCGCTGGGGTATCCATTTTTTTCACATTTACTCTCATCTGGATCAATTTCCTGAACTTTATTAACTATGAAGCAGACTGTGTGCACTTGAGCTGAGCAGTATGATTAAACTTGACCCTTTGTACCTAAGGTCCGAAGGAAAACAATTTAAAATGATGATGACCTTCTAATGGGAGTACATTAAGGATAATGAGAGCCTTCTCTCCTCTCTGCAGTGACACATTTCACCGTTTTATTGTAATAGCAGCAGCAGCTCCTCTGTGCTGACCCTTCCTCCCTGGTGTGAGTCCACAAACACGGGGTCATCACCCCAGTCAGATGGCCAGAGTTGATTGGCATTCCCTTCCGACTTTGGCAGTGGTTTAACCCACCAAACGCCTGTAGAAATTTAAACTCCCCTTTGTTTTCATCTTTACAGCTTTTAAGTTTCTAATCCTGTGTGCCATTGTCTTCATTCCATTTGACTAAAACACTTCTAATGTTTTACTTTATTTTTTTAAAATTCAAAATGAGTAGATTCTGTTTCTATTTCCTTTTCTGTTTGCCCCTTGTTTATTCTCCTTGGCCTACGTTTAATGTGCCTTATTCCTTACTTTTTTATTGTTGTTTTTCCACTTATTTCCCTGAGGATTGTGAGTTGTAGGACTTCTTTGTATATTTTAGATATTAACCCCTTATTAGATAGGTGATTTGCAAGTATTTCTTTCCATTCGGTGGTTTGTCTTTTTATTTTGTCGATGATTTACTTTTCCCGAGAGGAAGCTTTTCAGTTTGATATATTTCCACTTGTTTATTTTTGCTTCTTGTTGCCTTTGCTTTTGGAGGTGTTTTCATTGAGAACTTTTATGGTCTCAGGTTTTACACTCAAATCTGAATCCATGTTGAGTTCATTTTTGTGTATGGTGTAATCTTTTGCATGTGGCTGTCCAGTTTTCCCAGTACCATTTTGCTATCTTTATTTTATTTGCCCTTTCTTTTCTTTTAAGAGGAGGAAAGGAAAAATGATAAGGTAGATTGGGATCCAGCAAGGGAAAATCATGGTGATTGCTGGTGATATGATTGAGCACCATTTGTTTTTTTCATATCCTATATAATTAAAGCCTGATATGCTAAGTGTCCGACCGTTTGACCGGTTGCTATGACGTGTACTGACCACCCGGGGGCAGACACTCTGACCTGTAGGTTAGCTTGCTGCTGAGGTCCAGCTGATTGGGACTGGGTGAGAGGGGCCGGACATGCCCTAGAGCCCTCCCACAGTCCCTCCCTGGCCCCGCTCATGCACCGGTGGGGTCCCTTGGCCTGGCCTGGGCCCTCTCACAATCCAGGACCCCTCGGGGGATGTCAGCCGGTTTCGGCCCGATCCCCACAGGCCAGGTCGAGGGACCCACCAGTGCACGTATTCGTGCACCGGGCCTCTAGTATGAAATAAAGCGCTTATATGTTATAATGTATTATAGAGATTAGGATGAATGATACAGTGTATGTGTGTGAATATGTGTGTTTTTATGTACAACTCTTGCACCTGCATAAAATAATAATCTTAAATTTTCACACTAAAGTCGCAAATCTGAGAGATTTTTCTGATTAATTTTAGATCCCAGTTATTAAAGCTTTTGGCATCTTGAAGCGAGCCGCTGCTGAAGTAAACCAGGATTATGGTCTCGATCCAAAGATTGCTAGTGCAATCATGAAGGCCGCAGACGAGGTAGGAGGTGATGTGTGGTTTCCTAGCGGCACCGAGCCGTGTCACCCACTGGACGATAAGTTCTGGTGGGAGGACGTGCACTGTGAATGTCTGAGTGAATGCATCTCAGGGCAGGGTGGCAGCATTATCCCTTGGTGAGGACATTAATTTGGTGCTTAATCTACGGTGGCGAAATTTGTGCGTGATCGTATCCCTTCATTTTTTATTCTCTTGACCAGGGGTCCTCAAACTTTTTAAACAGGGGGCCAGTTCACTGTCCCTCATACCGTTGGAGGGCCGGACTATAGTTTAAAAAAAAAAACTATGAACAAATTCCTATGCATACTGCACATATCTTATTTTGAAGTAAAAAAACAAAATGGGAACAAATACAATATTTGTATTTGCATGTGGCCCGCGGGCCGTAGTTTGAGGACCCCTGCCTTGACTTTTCCTTTAATTTATATAGTTTAAAGGAAACTTTGAAGAGACACTGTTTATATATTTTATTTCTTATTTTATATATACACAGTTCATTTAAAAACTTGTTGTTATTTGATAATCTGTATGGAGAAAGTAATTTCACTAACCCTCTAATAATATAATCTGAAGGAAGCAAAGATAACAGTTTGAAAACTATACATAATGTTGTTCATTGCAGTACCACTTACAATAACAAATTAGAAAGTATCCAACCGTAACAGCTGCTTAAATAAGTTATATGGTGACGCTGTCGAAAATTTTTTAAAGAATATCATAGAACAACCCTACCATATAAGAAGCAGTGGGGGAAAGGTAACAAAGTATATGTATTTTATGATCTGAATTTTGTTTAGAAAAAATGAACAGAAAACATGTGTTTTTTTATATACATGCATACGTACTCCCATGGCGTGGAGTGGAACCTGGAAGGAGATGCCAATGCCAATAGTCATTATTTCTGAGGGCTGGACCTATGATGGCTAACATACGTTTCTTAGTTCTCAACATTTTCTATCCTGGTCTCCTATTATTTTCATAAAAACTCGGAAAAAAAGTTTTAAAGTGAACCAATTGTTTAAGGTCAAATAGATTTCTAAAGTGCATGCTGATTTTTAAAAAATTTATCTTTATTGTTGGAAGTATTACAGATGTCTTCTTTTCTCCCCCTTTGACTCCCCCACCTCGCTCCTGCCCCCCTCCCCAAGCTAAAACCATTCCCGAAGATGAGGTTAAGCACCCACTGTCTTAGAAAGCATACAGTCCCCAAACTAGCACATTAACTGAAGGTATAAAACTATGAGAAAATAGGGACAGATCTGGACTGTGTCTCTGCGCTTGGCAGTTGCTACTCATTGGACGTCTGTGCGCTCACGTAGCTATTGGTGTACTCACTCCCAGTCACCAGGTCGTTGTGCTGACTCCACTGTCCGTCTGTGGGACATCCCGCTGCGCACCGACACTGCATGCATCTGAACACTGAACCCTTCGCAGCCTGAGCAGGTGGCCCGTCTGCCTGTTAGTGGGGGAGGCAGTTGGAGAAATAGAAGAAAGAAGCCTTTGCTTCAGTTTAGTTGATTCACAATAGTTCATCTTTCACTTTATTTACTTATTTATTTTATTTTTTAAAATATATTTTTATTGATTTCAGAGAGGAAGAGAGAGAGATAGAAGCATCAGTGATGAGAGAGAATCATAGATTGACTGCCTCCTGCACACCCCCAACTGGGGATCAAGCCCGAAACCCGGGCATGTACCCTTGACCGGAATGGAACCTGGGACTCTTCAGTCCACAGGCCGACGTTCTGTCCACTGAGCCACACCGGCCGGGGCTCATCTTTCATGTTTTAAAGTAACGTGGTTGGACAGCCTCAAGCTGTGTGGTCCCATCGGCCAGTCACCTCGCAGAGGGTCAAGTGAGCACCCTGACCATAGCACTGCACACGCTGCCACCTTACTCATAGCTGAGCACAATGGCTCAGTGAGTGTCGCCGTTCTTACTGTAAGCAATCCCTTCTGTCACCTCTGATCTGCAGGTAGCCGAAGGGAAGCTGAACGACCACTTCCCCCTGGTGGTGTGGCAGACTGGGTCCGGGACCCAGACGAACATGAATGTGAACGAGGTCATTAGCAACAGAGCCATCGAGATGCTGGGAGGCGAGCTGGGCAGCAAGAAGCCCGTGCACCCCAACGACCACGTCAACAAGAGCCAGGTCAGCATTTCCGCGCGGCTTCTCTGTGTTGGAAACGGAACAGGGCGCCTGAGATCCGTCCGATCAGCAGGCGCTGGCTTTTGGACAAGGAGGTTCATCTGCTTACATTCTCCAATGGAAAGGACTTCTGAGATGTTCTTGTCTTTCAGGAATCTCGGGTCTAATGTCTTAAACTTCATAAAATCACTTTCAGGGGGAAAATTACTTAGGACAGCTGGATTTAGGATATATGTATGTTTTTATTATTTTGGTTTATATTTTACACTCTTCATTTTGAAATAATTTAAACTTATAAACATTGCAAAGGTCCTTCAAAGAGTTTCTGTATACCCTCTCCCAGCTTCCCTTAATTTTAAGCATTTTGTGTAAACCTGCTACACTTACCACTCTCAAAGATAAACATTGCTCTCTGCAGACTGCGTTAGGGTTGCTCTAGTTTTCGGCCGATGTCCTTTTTGTCTGCGGGATTCATCCTATCCCCTTCGTCTCCTCCACCTCACGGCCGCATGTCTTCTGTCGCTTTCCACAGTAGTGGGCAGGCACTTGGTCCTTTAAAACACCCACTGATTTACTTTCTCGCACTAAGAGATGCTCCTGGTTCGTCCTGTATTTTCCCTGCCCCAGCCCCACAAGCACCCATTCTCCCAAGGAACTCCTAGACCAGCGGTTCTCAACCTGTGGGTCGCGGCCCCTTTGGCGGTCGAACGACCCTTTCACAGGGGTCGCCTAAGACCATCCTGCATATCAGATATTTACATGATGATTCAGAACAGTAGCAACATGACAGTGATGAAGTAGCAACGAAAATAATTTTATGGTTGGGTCACCATATGAGGAACTGTATTTAAAGGGCCAGAAGGTTGAGAACCACTGTCATAGAGGGTCAGTTCCCAGTGCTGCAGTCCTAAATATTTTGGCAAGTCACATGATTTCTTAGACAGCTTGGCTTTCCTATTTTGTTATTTGGTTAATCCTCACCCGAGGATATTTTTCCATTGATTTTTAGAGAGAGTGGAAGAGAGAGGGAGAGACAGAGAAACATCGATGTGAGAGAAACACATCTATTGGTTGCCTCCCGCGTGCACCCCAACTGGGGCCGGGGATTGAGCCTGCACCTGAGGTACGTGCCCTTGAGTGGAATCGAACCCAGGACCCTTCCGTCCTTGGGCCGATGCTTTATCCACTGAGCCAGACTGGCGAGGGCGACGGCTTTCCTGTTTTGAAAGTGGTGCCCTAGCTCAGAATTCTCCTGAGGTTTCACTGATGCCGAAATGTTTATGAGAGACTGTACGCACCGTGTAGCCGTCAGGTATCATCGCCATCCTCACGTCACTGTGAACGGTACGCCTCTGTCCCGTGCTGACCTTTATCGACGGGCAGGTGTGCTGATGGGTGAGGTGCCCATGGCAGGTGGGATTGGCACAGTCCATGCAGGGAAGCAGGCTGCTGCTCCTCTGACCTTAGACTTGGCATTGAGCACTAAACCTTTCCGAGTTTCGAGTAGTCATTTAGGGAGGTTTTTATTCCAGTTCGGCGGTGTTGCCTCTGCTCTAACAGCTGGCCTGTCTTTGGAAAACCTCCCGCAGAGCTCCAACGACACCTTCCCCACGGCCATGCACATCGCCGCCGCCATGGAGGTCCACGAGGTGCTGCTGCCGGGGCTGCAGAAGCTGCACGATGCGCTCGAGGCCAAGTCCAAAGACTTCGCCCAGATCATCAAAATCGGGCGGACCCACACCCAGGACGCGGTCCCGCTCACTCTTGGGCAGGTAGAGGGGTGCGCTTAGATTCACGTTGGGGGGCGGGGCCCATGGCCAGCAATTCCTCACCAAGTGACACTGGCCTCAAAGGCCAGGTGTGTAACAGTTCAGTGACAGGCTGTTCTTCTTTCACCAGTCAGCAGTGGTTTTTAGTTTTCTTTTTTAAAAAAGATCTTTATTGTTGAAAGTATTACGTGTCCCCTTTTTCCCCCAGTTCTATTTCGTGCAGTTAGAGTAACTTTTACGTCATTAGGAAATTCTATATTCTCACCGTACGTCCTTCTCTTTCCAGGAGTTCAGTGGTTACGTTCAGCAGCTGAAATACGCCATGACGAGGATAAAGGCTGCCATGCCCCGGATCTACGAGCTCGCGGCCGGGGGCACCGCCGTGGGAACCGGGCTGAACACGAGAATTGGCTTTGCCGAGAAGGTGGCCGCGAAGGTGGCCGCGCTCACAGGTCGGGAGATGTGACTTCCTGTCCTTTCCTTCTGCTGGTCTGTGTCTGTACTGGGTGTTCTAAGGCCAGTGAAGTCTTCATTCAAGCCAGCCCACACGCCAGGTTTCCTGACCAAACAGGCCTCTGGCTCTGCTCCGGGCGCTCAGCTCAGCCCGGCCATCTCGGCCACCTCTCGGCTTCAGTGCCCTGGGCCGCACGGAGTTGTCACCGGCCTTTCTGGTCCGATGGCCTGGAAGATACTCTCCCCAGTGGGGGAGGGTGGGGAGGTTGTGGGGGGCTGTGACATCACTCCTTGCCTGGGCGTGGGCAGACCAGACTGGGGCTGGCAGCACTGCATTCGGGAACCTCTGCGCTCCCCTCGTTCCCTGTTGGAGTGCGCCCCTTCTTTAGTTCCGCAGATGAGCAAGGTTGTCACCAGCTCCTTCCCCCTCCTTCATCACAGTCAGATTTCCGGTGGCTGAGCCCTGCAGAGTCCCCTGCAGTCCCGTGGTGGGAGGTCAGAGTAGAGGCTCCAGCAAAGTGACCTACAATGCTGGGGCATGGAACCAGAGGCTCATGGGAGATCACCGTGTAGCCACTTCTCTCACCCCTAATGCAGTCTGCTCTCTGGTGCAGGGGTGCGTCAGCCTCACCCTCGTCCTAGGATCCGCCAGGGTGTCTTGTGCTTGAACAGTTAGTTGTTCTATTCCGGTGAGGGAGAGCAGAGTCATGGCCAGCCTGTCCTCTTGGTGACGTCACTCCAGCATGCAGTGAAAATCCGCCAGTGCCAGCTTTGTCACTCTGGAAAGGTGTTTCAAATACTTATTTTGAAAACAGGCAGAATCAACTGTTGGTTGAGAGATTCATTTGAATGATAAATATGTTGTACAGATGGACAGACTTGATTTTTCCTGTGGCATATGCTGTGAAAATCCTCTGAACTAAGGCCCTTTCGAATTCTGTCTTCTCTTAGTAGAGCACTATACTCTCCATAATGGTAACTAGTATTGGAGCCAGGTTATCATGTCCAGAAAATCCTTATTAAGATGCAGGTGTTAGCAGAGGAGTAGGGTAGACATAATTGGACAATGCTTATGATGGCTTAGTAGCGAAATTTGTTTTTTAACCAAGAAGAACTACATTATAATACGTAGATCTTCAAAATTTTGAACACAGGACAGACCGACTGGGATGGTCCCATTCATTTTGGCTCCCTCGTTTCTCCGGGGTTTCGTGGGCCCTGGGGCTCCGTGGGCCCTGGTGGGAGAAGAGAACAGAACAGCCTGAGGTGGAGGAAGACTGTCCTAGGAAAGGAGCATGGACTGAAGCTCTCAGAGTGACTTTTGCCTCCTTCTCACCTTCCCTCGAGTAGCCAGGCATCACACATGTTTGCAGTGGGTGGAGTTCTCTTCATGATGTTTCTCGTACTTGTTTTTTCATCCTTTAAATGTGCTGGAATCGTTGATTCCACTCCTTCAGGACCTTTTGAAGCTATGTAGACAAAACTTCAGTCTTAAGATACACTTGTTTATTTCTCCGAAGTGAAGTTTTTCTGTTGTTTCTGGTTTTCATATGCTGGATTTTCTGTTCAACTTGCTGACCTTAGGAAACCACGCCCTTTCGCCTGCTGACTCACGTGGGCTGTCACCCCCTCTTCCTCCAGGCCTGCCTTTTGTCACAGCCCCAAACAAGTTCGAAGCCCTGGCGGCCCACGATGCGCTGGTGGAGCTCAGTGGCGCCATGAACACGACCGCGTGCAGCCTGATGAAGATCGCCAATGACATCCGGTTCCTGGGCTCCGGGCCCCGCTCAGGTCTCGGGGAGCTGATCCTGCCGGAGAACGAGCCGGGCAGCAGCATCATGCCAGGTACCTGCCCCGCCGGGCACCGTCAGCGCTGGTCCTCGCAGAACCGGGCATCCCCGTCCTCAGAGCCTGTCCCCTCTGGTGCGGGATCCCAGGATCTCAAAGATGGACGGGGGTGTGGGCGGCACCCTTGTTTCAGATGGTCGTTGGGGCCACCTGTGATCAGGACTCCAGGGGCCTCACTCCATCGTGTAGGAGGAAAGCGTTTTAGTGAGGAGCATGCATACTGGTTCCCACACTGGAGAATGTGTAATAGTTCAGGAGAGTTTAGCACAGGCAGGAGAGGGATCCGCATGGGTTGGAGAAAAAGGGATGTGCCAAACGCCTCCTTCCATTTCTTGCTTTGGGGAAGTGACACAGCAAGTCATTTAACAGATGCACATGGTGTTCATTGAAACCAGCGGAGAAGCGTGGCAGTACCGTCAGATGGCCGTAGCTGGAGCGCAGGGACATTTAGGAGTGACTCGTGCGTGGACCTGGGGCTGGAGAAATAGCTGGTGGCAAGCTGACTGCTGCACCGAGGTGAAGGTAGAGGGTATGTGATGATCCCAGGAGCAGGTACCGAAGTTGAGGTAGCACCATGTCAGGTGACAGGATCAGATCCGTAAAGGCCTCTGTAGTTGGACTAAAACCGACAAAGTGATTTTTGAGAGTGAACAAGAAAGACCCGACTGCAGATTCTTTTAACTCTCGGCAAGTACAGGATGAGAAGAGACCTGACTTCAAAGTATTTCATGTTGAAAAATGACGTGAGTTCAGCCGATTGCCAATTCAAGGCAATTGCCTCAAAAAGAGAAATGCAGAGTTACAGCAAAGTCTTCCCAGTGCGTTGCTTTATATCCATTAGAGGGGTCTGGGATCCGTGTTCACACTTGAACTTGTCAGAGGAGGGGGGTTCTGGAGAGTCATGTGATGAATAGGAAAATTCCAGGTGAGTGTCACCATCCTCTGAGCAGCCCCTGCGTGTGGTGAAGTCCCTCTTGTATCCGTGTTCCCACGGCAGCCTGCACGGCTCCGTCTCTCTTGTCATTGCCAGCGCGCGCTCCCCAGCCTCCAGTTCTGCGCTGGTGGGTAGCACCTTTCTTACCCACCATTGTGTATTCAGTGCCTGGCTCTGCAAACGTTCTAGAATGAATGGAAGCCATGCAGATGGAGAGAACTGTATTCCACTCTGTTTAACTCATTACTCATTAGCCATTGAATGGTTCAGTGTGGCTACCCACCTTCCTTTCTCTGGTTGGTTGGTTTCCTTAAATCGGCACTGATGGTGGGGCCTTGCTGTATTACATGTCTTTCTTCATTTAATGAAGTTGGACTCCCTTCCGGTTTTGATTACTTGACGTAACCCTAACCTTCACGGGGCTCGAAGCCGTGCGTGTGTCTGATCGGAGTCCCCGGTGGTTTTCTTGAAGGCAAGGTGAACCCGACGCAGTGCGAGGCCATGACCATGGTGGCCGCCCAGGTCATGGGCAATCACGTCGCTGTGACCGTCGGGGGCAGCAACGGACACTTTGAATTGAACGTTTTCAAGCCAATGATGGTAAGTGAGCTGTGCGTTAGGGTTTGGACCGAGGGCTAACTGTCTTGGTTTTTCTTTCATGAGGTTTTATAGATCTCACAGCAGGCAGCCGATGATCTGATCAGCAGTTGGAAGTCAAGTATGTATGACCATTGGAGGGTTGATCCTGGATGTTCAGTGAGGTGACTTTTAGCTTAAGGAATTCGATGGTTTGCTTTTTTAATAGAAAAGTTCTGGAAGGTAGGGTACAGTTTTCTTCCGTGTCCCTCACCAGGGGAGGTACCAGCGGCCAGAAATCAGAAGCCGCCTCAGTTTAAACAGCCCTGCTCAGTCCCAGCTCCTCGCGCTGCTGCTTCCTTCTTCCTTCTTCCCTGCAAATTCTGTCTTTTTAAAGGAGCGACGACCCTCGCGGCCCCTCCCGCCACACTCACTCCTGCGCTTGATTGTTCTCGCAGTCACTGTCCCTCCACGGCTCTCTCGCCCACACCCCCTGACTCTTCCTCCTGCAACACCTTCGCCCTGGTCTCTGCAGCATTTCCTCTCCCTTTCCTTCGCCTCTCAGTCTCCCTCTCACTGGCCTCACCTCTTCCACATGCTTTGCAAACATCATCCTGTCCCCTAACACTTCTTCCTCTTTTCGAAGCTGGAACAGGATGGCATCATCTCCTTTCCCCGGCTGCAGATAATACAGCTGGCGTCCTACGAGCCCTTCATTCATGTAAAATGCTGTGTCTACAGTCTGGTGCAAAGTCTGCTTTTAATTTGATAAGAATGCACAAATGACAACATTACGTAGATTGTGTCCTGGCCTGTGTCAGGCACTGCGGTGCTGGCGACAGAGCAGTGGACAAGGCAGGTTGGTGGTCCCGGTGGCGGGGACCTTCTAGGGCAGCGGTTCTCAACCTTGGCTGCACATTAGAGTCACCTGGGAATCTGTTTAAAATCCTGATTTCTGGGCCACATCCTCCGGAAATTCTGTTTCTTTGTTATGGGGTGAGGCCACGACATTAGTAGCAAAGAAACAGAATTTCCGGAGGAGGAGGCCCAGAAATCAGGATTTTCTAAAGATTCCCAGGTGATTCTAATGTGCAGCCAAGGTTGAGAACCACTATTCTAGGGGAACGGGAAGGAGACAGCCCAGAGCAGAACCCAGGCCCATAGCTTTGTTTTCAGGTCACTTTGCAAACAGTAGACCCCCGGGCCTGGCAGATACAGGTCCGGGCAGTAATGTCTGCTCATCTCTGTTTTTCTTTTAAACAAAATCCCTTTTGTCTTTAGTAGAAAATAAGTCGAGAAAATCAACATTTGCTCTATCATACTCATTATCGCCAAGTGAATGAATCGTGAAGTTCTGTGACTTCTACTAGAGTCCATTGTTGAGAGTATAGTTTTCCGACCCTGGGGTCTTAGACCAAAGGAAATTAGGACGTGGATACGTATCCTAATACGTGTTGGGATGTTACCAGAAAGAAAGAAAATGCTAAAACAAACGAATTGATTTTATACCGTTTTTAATATTGTATGAAAGGTTATTTGAAAGTGACTCTGGAATATTTGTTTCGTTAACCATAAAAACACGTGTGATCGTTAAGAGCTGGACGCCCTGACTTTCCTGATTTCCTCGCACACATGCTGAACTCTGACCTCTGCGTCTCTGCTCCCTCCACAGGGAGGAGCCTCCCCCCACCCCCACCCGGCTCTGTGCAGCCTCCCCCCCCAATGGGACTTCAGTCCTGCAACTGGAATTCATTCCCCTTCTCTGAGCCCTACCATTTTATACCCGTGCTTCATAATACCACAGGCTAGCTTGCATTGTAGTTATTTGCATTTGTTACTTATTCCTCTTTTAGATTTCTGTGCCCTCAAATGTTTATTTCTTTCCTATTTATTGTCCTGGGGATGGTGCCTTAAAAGTTGCAGGGGTGCTGTCTGTGTATTGAATTCTGTGTTCTCTGATGAACCAGTAGATAATACTATGTTGTTGGACGAACATAGCGAGGCTCACTAAGTCTCTCTCCCTCTCGTAGATTAAGAACGTGCTGCACTCGGCCAGGCTGCTGGGGGACGCGGCAGTGTCTTTCACAGAAAACTGTGTGGTGGGAATCCAGGCCAACAAAGACAGGATCGCCAAGCTGATGAACGAGTCCCTGATGCTGGTGACTGCTCTCAACCCGCACATAGGTAAGGCGAAGGGAGCAGAAGGCCATTTTGAGTTCAGAATTAAAGAGCTCAAGCCATTTAAAATGCTTATAGACAGCAGTTTCCTTTCGGACATTGTTTAAGTCGAATCTTCTAGAATATTTGAATGTGTGTTGTAAGACACTCAATATGACCTATGGTATCAGTCTTTCAAAAACTTGATCGATTATTCTTCATTTTATTTGAAAACGTGGTCAATTCAGGAGTAATTAAACTGATTTCCGTCTCAGTGGAATCAGGTGCGCTGTGTTCTAGGCGCTGGTAGGAGCCTCTCCACCAGGTGGCGCTGGCGATCAGCAAAGGGAGCGAATCTGTTTTCTACCTTCTCCACCTGCTCGCCTGCGCTTCGGTTTTGTCTGTTCAGTTAAAAAAGAGGAAGTTACCAGTAGAAGGAACAGGGTTATTCGTTGCTTTATTTTGTCTAGAACCACGGCTTTCGTGTTGCAAGCCTTTTCTAGAATTGTGAATATTTCATTATGTAGATTCAGGCTGTAGACCTGGGTTGCAGGCTGAGCACAGGGATCCCCATCCAACCCCCTGCTGGCCCCGTGGGTTCTGGGGGTCTGTGGTTACATGATGATGCATCAGCCTCTGTCCCACCTTCCCCTGCTGCGCTGAGTTTCTGTCAGAACAGGTTCGGATGTAGCGTCTGGCACGTACGCTCACTGCTCGCCAACACCCTTCTAGAACCCTGACCACCCAGGGCTGGTTTTATATCTTGGCGTCGCATCCAGCTTTCATTTCAGCCTTAGAGAGTTAGAGCCCATCTGCCTGCCCAGGTGGCTCTGGGCCCAATCGGATGGCCACCCTTCGGTGCACTGTTGAGACCACAGTGCGGTCCCCCCAGGGCCTGGCTGGTCCCCCCAGCGCCTGGCTGGTCCCCCCAGTGCCTGGCTGGTCCCCCCAGTGCCTGGCTGGTCCCCGCAGCACCTGGCCTGGCGGTGCTGCAGCACTGAGCTCGCTGATGCTGTTACAGAGATACTGTTTCTGGTTAAGCATGTTTGAAACCACACATTCTACTCCTCAGATGTGTGCTTTTATGTCTTACTGCTATATTGCATTTTTGTTTCTCCCCTTCGTACAACATCTGAGGGAGTGGGCAATTTCAAGTTAGGAACAAATACATTGTAGAAAGTGAGTATGCTGACGTCTGCATTACATAAGAAAAGTAAAGATTTTATTCTATATAAGAAATGACAACTATTAGGATAATCACTGTTAAATATTCTTCAGATGAAAAACTATTACTCCAGAGCATGGTAGCACCAATGTCTAGTAAGTGATGATGGCCTTTTGCTTTAGAAAGCCACCCTCACTTCTTTCTCTATGTCGCCTTTCTGCTTTTCTTCAGGGTATGACAAGGCAGCAAAGATTGCTAAGACCGCACACAAAAATGGGTCCACCTTGAAGGCCACCGCCATTGAACTTGGCTACCTCACAGCCGAGCAGTTCGATGAGTGGGTGAAGCCCAAGGACATGCTGGGCCCCAAGTGATCTGAGTGAATTTGTAATAAAATCTGCGACATAAACACGAAACAGCCTCATGTTTTTTAAACAAAACTGGGTAAGTGTGGACGGAAGCTGCTATTGAACTTGACTACAGCAGAGCAGTTTGGACCGTTCATAAAACCCCAGGACATGCAAAGTCCAAAATGAATTTAAAAAGCGAATAAAACAATTGTATAAAATCAGCAAGAAAATAGACTCTTTTATGTGAACTGATGTGTGTATTGTAGTTGGATCTGATTTTGTGTGTTTATCACTCATATCTTTTATAAGAGAAGGCTTTCATCCGAACACTGTTGTGTGTCTCAGCCACCAAGAAGGACATTCGTGGACAATAACTGGGTTAATCGAGGGTATGGACCCCAGAAGGAACTGTGTCTTTTAACAGGAAAAACGTGGTTGGTGAATGTTGAGGTTTTTCTGAGTAACCCTGATCATCCTGTAGGTAATTATAATTTGCTCTGTATTGTGTCACACTTGTTTGGATTTGTGGCTTTTGTGAGTGAACAAAGTTATTTTATTGTCCTTATTTTTAGGAGGAGATTCACAGCATGGCAATACTTCAAATGCCAATGATGTCAAAATTCTTGAATATTTTCCCTTTCTGGTGCCTGATGAGTCACTGGACTATCATTCTGTCCCAAAAACATTCTGCTGACACCAGTCTTAGTCACAAAACCTTACTGTGGCAGGGGGCAGGGAGCAGGGTCTGGGGAGAAATCGACACACTAGGAAGAATCTGGCTTCATCTTCACGTTGAATTATTACCCACATTTTAAACGCAAATTTATTTTAAAGTAGATTTCCAAATCTAGCAAAGCTCAACTGCCCTGTTATCGTGCTATCCCCAGATGCATAGAAATACCTCGGCTGTCAGGGACCTGCCGTTTCGATGCTATGGCTTTACAATTCAATTTTCTTTTCAGCGACATGATGAATGGGGATGGGGCGGATTATCCTACAGGAAGACTGAGTCCACTCATTGAATGTAAGCCCTGATCGGCATTTACACAACAGAACCACAGGGCTGGAAAACATCAAAAGCTCACCTGGAGCAGTCCCTTATTGAAATAGGGAACTCCCAGGAACTAAGCTTTCCTGGGAAGGAGATAGACACTAAACGGTGGTTGATAGTCAGTCATTTGCATTAGTTGAGCATTGCAAACCGTTGAAAAGTCTAAACAGAAGATCTAGTTTTCAAACAAGATAAATAGCTCCAATAGTTCTCTGAGAATTAAAAGACAGAGTTTCCCACTCGGTCGGCATGGCTCAGTGGTTGAGCATCAACCTAGAAACCAGGAGGTCATTGTTCGATTCCCGGTCAGGACACAAGCCAGTTTTCGGGCTCGATCCCTAGTGTGGGGTGTGCAGGAGGAAACCAGTCAATGATTCTCATCATTGATGTTTCTGTCTCTCTCTCTCTCCCTCTCCCTTCCTCCTTGAAATCAATAAAAACATTTTTAAAAAAATTTAAAAATAAAAGAGAGAGCACATCAAAGTATAACACAATATTGTGACTTCTGTTTCTCAATGGCAAATGAGTTGCAAATGGATCACTTCAAGTAGAACTGACTTTGTTTTGCACAACATCTTAGAGCTGGGGCGGCTAAGGGTTTGATAATGAGCAAGGAAGATGACCTGAATGCGGAGAGCCATCCACCTGTCTCCTTTATGAATAAACAAATCCAAACCCCAGGAAGCTAGTGCAGAATAACTATGCTATTTAACAAGCCTTCTTACAGCAATGTATTCAACACGTACTATATCTTTAGCTCTTCATTAGGCCTAAGGGTAAGATAAGACAGTCTTAAACTAAAAACTAAAGAATTTCTCAGGGCATCGTGGGAGACAGACACAGCTTGAAAAATATCAGAAATATCGTACTCAGAATGCTGCATAATTTAAAACTTAACGAATGTTTCTTTCTGGAATTTTCCATTTAGTCATTTTGGACCTCAGTTGGCTACAGGTAACTGAAACCACAGGAAGTGCTCTCCCTTCCTCTCTGAAATCAATAACAATATATTTTTTTTAAAAATCCACAAAGAGGACTTTTTTGCCCAACTTACAGAGAACGATTCCAAGGTCTAGGAGACCAGGGTCCTGGTCTTGTCTCTGTCATTAAAAGGTGTTGATCTTAGCCAGGCCATTAACATTTCTTTTTAAAAGAAATATGTTTTTATTGATTTCAGAGACAGAGAGAGAGAGAGAGAGAGAGAGAGAGAAACATCAAGGATGAGAGAGAATCATCAACTGCCTCCTGCACGTACCCTACTGGGGATCGAGCCCCACAACCCGGGCATGTGCCCTGATGGAGAATCAATCGGTGACCTGGTTCATAAGTCGACACTCAACCACGGAGCCGAAGCAGCCAGGCCACGCCGTGATCCCTGCTTTCATCCCCTGTAGAATGGTTCCTGCTAGCTCGACATTTGAATCTAGGCCACTCGGTGGAACAGGGCCGGGAGCTGCCGGGGTAATCCACACACAATGACGTTGCTCTCTGTCCTCTCTCTCTCTCCTCTCTCCTCTTGCTAAGCAGCATCCAGGCTGTTCCCAAATAGAAATTGCTGCTGAGTAATTACAAGCCCGCAGCGTCCCGGCCAAGCTCCGCCTGACAGCGCAGAAGTGCAGGCCGTGGGGTTTGCGATGACACGTGTTACACATTTGGCTCCACCTTGGGCTTTCATGGGAATAGAAATGAAAGACTTCTGAGTTTTTGAAAAGAAGTGTTTCAGCTTTGATTTGCCTCGGAATTATACTTAGAAATAAGGGGGAGCTAGCTCAGTCTCTAAGGTAGCCTCCAACTCTCCATCTGCCTGCTCCCCCACCCCTTCCCCCTTCCCAACTCCTTCCTCCTACCACCAGGCCACGGAGCATTGTTCCCCTGGCCCCTCCTCCACGCATCTCCCTAGGCCTCCAGTTTCTGCACACACGTCTACACTCTGCAAACTACCTTCCCCACCTCAAGCCCCGTGGAAAGTTCAACTGCATCCCTTCACACACACACTCACACACACACACACACACACACACACACACACACACAACCCAGCAAGCAGGCGAATAATACTCCCAGCATCTTAGCTAATATCACAAGCCAGTAGGCCCCCTTCAGAGTCCACTATGAAACCCTCGATTTTGTTTCCTGTGGTCGTGGTGTGTGAGCAAATGAACAAAATCAGAAAGACGGCTCATCTTTTCTCCGTGCTTGTATGCGCATGCTGTTCGTCATGGGATGATTATTATTTTTAAATTTTATTATATTGTTTAAAGTATTACACCTTTAAGCAAGATGGTGGCATGAGGAAAGGCATTTTTTTTAATTGACTTTTTTTAGAGAGAGGGAGAGGGAGAAAGAGATAGAACCATCAATGATGCGAGAGAATCATCGATCAGCTGCCTCCTGCACGCCCCACCCTGGGGATCGAGCCCGCAACCCGGGCCTGTGCCCTGACTGGGAATCCAGCCGGGATCTCTTGGTTCATGGGTCAATACTCAACCACTGAGCCACTGAGAGAGATTAAAGGTGAATCGATGGGGGAAGTCAGGATATATATATGATCTTATTTTAGTAATAACACTTACCAGAGCTAAAACAGCAAAGATTTCAGTTATAAATCATTTTCTATCCCCAAAGAAAGTTGGAATTCATTTGGTTATGCTTTCTTCCGTTCCAACAGCTTGCTCAGGGAGCCGGCCCTGTTGTTCAAACCTAGTTTGGCGCTGACCCCAGTGATGCTATACATTTATTAAATACATAAATCTTGTGTTTTCTAAAGCACTGCTTTATAGGAACCAACCACCTCAAGTTCTTTGTGTACTTTTTAAAGGAAAAGAACTTTGGGGAGTTCTAAGAATATATTGGTTTTGATTAGAAAATAATACTTTGCCCGAGCCGGTTTGGCTCAGTGGATAGAACGTCGGCCTGGGGACTGAAGGGTCCCAGGTTTGATTCTGGTCAAGGGCATGTACCTTGGTTGCAGGCATATCCCCAGTGGGGGGTGTGCAGGAGGCAGCTGATCGATGCTTCTCTCTCATCAATGTTTCTAACTCTATCCCCCTCCCTTCCTCTCTGTAAAAAAAATCAATGAAATATATTTTAAAAAATAATATTTGAAAAAAAATAATATTTGAAGCATGGACGTGGGTGGTCACAGCCTTAGAGAGGCCACACCCAGCCCCCCCACCCCCTTACCCCCCCCCACCCCCCGCCAGCACTGTCCAAATTCTCTGTTTATAGAGAAAAATCTCAGGGTACCAGCTCAGAGCATCTTCTCCCGGCCTCCCCACGAGAGCCCCAAGTCAGGGATGAAAGTCAGATGGTCCCACAAAGGCTTAAGCTGAAATGGACTCATCCTTCCTCACTTGAAAAGAATTACTTTTTCAACACGCAGTTGAAAAAAGAGTGCCTTACACTTGCCTGGAATTTCTACTTTACAAAGTGCTTTTAAAAATACCCTCTCATTGAATTGCACAACAATTTGGCAGGAAAGAACTGATACGTCTATTTTGTTGATGAGTAATAAGAGCTGTTATCTCTATCACACTCATTTCGTGCCAGGCCCCAGGCCAAGCACGCGCTTCATCCTCACAACCACCTCACGGCGTGTGGGCTGTTCTTATCCCGGGAATCCACGGATTGAACGTTAGGCTCAGAAAAATTAAGGAATTTGCCTGGGATCAGGCGACGAGTAAATGGAAGAGTGGAGATTTGAGCTCCCTTTGGCGGTCGAATGACCCTTTCACAGGGGTTGCCTAAGGCCATCCTGCATATCAGATATTTACATGACGATTCATAACAGTAGCAACATGACAGTTATGAAGTAGCAACGAAAATAATTTTATGGTTGGGGGTCACCACATGAGGAACTGTATTTAAAGGGCCAGAAGGTTGAGAACCACTGCTATAGACTATTCATGTTCCCCCCAAACCGTGTATGTTGAAACCCTTTCAGGGTAAAATTTGACCACTGGGGATGAGAGTTGATGGATTAATGTTTCCCACTTTTATCTCACGTTGGACAAACATCCTGAAAGCACGTTAGATGTTTACTCAGCCACCTTTTCATACCAGAGCCGATTTCACGTCAGAGTCACTCATCCTTAAACTCCAAAATTGAAAGCATTTTCTAAGACTTTCTTAGAGCTGTCTTCACCTCGAAATCAGCTTATCTTATTTTAA